TCGAAAAATGGAAGTTTCCCGAGAGGTTTGCAACACTTTGCATTTTGTTGTGTTTTCAATTTTTTGAAGAACTATTGTTCTTCAATGTTACTGGTTTATTTGTGAAAAAGATCACAATCTTTTGTTCTCAAGTAACGTTCTGATTAGTCAACTCTTTTCCAAGTGGCCCGGTTCGAGCTGTCGCACTGTGTCAATCGCAAAGATATTCCACAGATTACCTGCTAACAGTTTCATTCACAAAGATGGCCGCATCTCCACAAGGAGCTGTACTGACATAAAGATGAAACTTGATTCCGTCTCTCAACTGAATCTTTCCTTGTCTTTCCTTTTGCACAAAGATGCTCTTCACATCTGTTTTACCGCTCAGCAGGATTGTTAAATGATAATGGAGGAATTTTATCAGACTCCTCCGCGCGATAACTTCAGCGTGAGAATCATTCACTGTTGATCCATCCATGCGCAGCTGGTCCCCGCTAATGCACCTAATAATATCATAATATAACACAGTTCAACCCCTATTAAACGTGTACCCTCGGGAAAATGGATAGTGGCCGCTTAATACAGGTAAAATCAGTAGAAAAGCCCTCATCGGGACTTCGATTACTGGCTACCTAATAAGGGTGGCTGTATAAGTGGCTGCTTAATAGGGGTTCGACTCTATTAATCATACAATAATGTAATATTATAACCCAATAGTTGAAACTGAAGAATAATTAGTGTTGCCAGTCAACAGGAACAGGGATGACGAGTGAAATTAGGAAATATACTCACACGCATTTTGCCAAAATTCTAATTTCCCTTGCCTAAAGGCTCGCAAAATTATTAGGATATCCACAAAATGCAAAGTGAAATTATTTCTTATTTCAAGAGTATACTACATGTATTTGATTACCCTTTAATATCATGGGTGACAAATTACATTCACCATGGATTTTTGACTTGTTTCTTGTATTAAGAAATTTTGCGCCAAACAATGCCATGGCAATTTTGTAATTTCTGGTGTGAAATTAAAAATAAATGCTGAAATTTTGTGCCAAAATTAAGGAGCAATTTATCACCCACGATATTAGCTTCATAATTACGCTGTATCTGTTGTTCCCATTGTTTCTTTAAAAAAACAAGTCGTATTAAGTTGTACTGAGGTGGCCATTTGTGAAGCAAGTTACTTTTGGTATTTGCTTACAACCATGGAATTTTGTTTCTTCTCTCAGAAAGCGAGAAGAGAGTGGCTTCATTCAGCGTTGTTACTTTCAAAAGTTCATGGTACTGTGGTTTTGAGATGGGTAAGCATGGTTTGCCCGAGTTTTAAATTTGCTCCTGGTTTCATACTGACAAAAAAATTGTTTGCAAAAAGGTGCTGAGAAGCTGGAGCAAATGTCACTAAACTCACTTGTTTCCAGTTCCAAGGCTCACTACAGTCCAAGGATCATCATCGCCGTCCTGCATCACAAACCCCGCAATCACCTTGTACCCAGCAAACCTCCACCCTTCTGGTGCCTCACGACTCAGACCTGACAGATGGTTCCAACAAAGGGCCGCAATCTTGTCCCCTTCAGTGGTGGTCCCTGGGTTGTACAGCTGGTGCACCCCCTTTAGCTTCAAAAGGGAATCCACGGCATACTGGGCAGCAGATTCTTTTGCAGCCTTCTTGGTCCTCCCAGCTCCCCAATTGTATAGCTCCTCACCAACTTTGTAAGCACAGTAGTGGTAAGATGGGTCTAAATTTCCTTCAGGTCGCACTTCTTGTGCTTCTGGTTGCGGGAAGTGATACGCCTGGCAGAGTTCATACAATGCACTGATGCTGTTTTTACCGTCTGTTAAAGGTGTTCTGGGTACTTCCATTTCATGTAAAGATTTCTGCACAGGGACAGGATTTGACTTATTTGGTTCTGTTGGAATAGAGTGTTCGAAGACTTATTAACTCATAAACAACTTTTCCATGAATATAAAGCAATAAGGCTTAGAGCTATTACTAAGTTAGTATTCTAGTTCAAATACAGCACAACCAAGCCCACATTTAGTTCATTCAACTATGTTCATGGGGAACATACTTGCTTCTCTTGGCACCAAGGAGGTTAATTAGACTCAGAAGAAATGTTAACCAAGGGTTCTGAGGTGGGGAGGGGGGAGGTATACCACTGACGAACTATCATCCCAACCGGGGGAGGATAGCAATACTCTTAGTCATTTTACGTTCCAGAACCCAGCTAAAAGCACGGGCCTGTTGCTTTCAATAAACTTAGTTTAGCAGTGTTATTCTCACCAGAGGTGACTTGGTAACCCAGGCTCTTGAGGGCAATGGCTGCTGCTTCCCTCTTAGCGTCCTTCTTACTACGGCCCATGCCACTGTCACAGACCATGTCGCCAACAACAGCTCTGAAGTTGTAAGTCCTGAAGTGGTCTGGTCCTGTATGACCCTGGTCTTCAAACTCAACCTGTAATGTAAAAATATAAAAGTAAAAAAGAATACCGTAAATCCTTGAATTAGGGAGAGGAAGCAGGGAGCACTTATTTGAGGGGGGGCACTTATTTCATTTTTCCCAAATCGTAGCCTGACATGATCATTTTGTAATACATCATCTGCGTGTACAAACAACAACATAACCTGTTTGTCGACATAAAAAGCTGCTCCTAAAGTTTAAATCGTGGCACCGATATAGTACTTGTAATTTTTTCTAAACTTAACATGTTCACAAACTGAAACAATGTACAAATCTAATACTTCATGACAAAAACTATACATCCTTTGTTATCTCTAGTATAATCTGGGGTGTGCTGCTTTAAAATATAATATAAAAAAATTAATGTACTGGTAACTGGTGTGAGTTTACCTTGACACCTTTCTTTTGTCCATATTCATTCAGAATGCTCACTGGATGCCTTTCAACTGTCATTCCACCTCCACTGCTACCAGCACCAGGTTTGTGAGCTAAAGAAAAACTAACATCAACCTAGAATCCCCACCTTCAAACTTGTATATACATGTAGCTACCCTACCCGGGCGATTGATGCGAGGAAAATTTTATAACACCTGATATTTAAAGGTGATAACATAACAAGAGAGGGGATGCAAAATAGAGTTACAATACAATGTTTTAGAGGAAATGGTTTGAAATCTGCTTCAGAGTATTCAAAGTATTTTAAAGTCGCAACATTTGGAAGAGTTTCCATGTGTACAGAAACCTTACTGTAACAGATGCCAATTGTTCAGCATTCAATGAGTTCAAGTCATCTATTCAACAGTTACTCCATGATACACACTCTATATATTTATTGTTAACTTGCTGTATATCTAGGAAAGTGACAGACTAAAATTTAATATGTTTATTTTCCATTGAGAATGTCTTGACTAACAATATTGTCAAACATAAAAAGAAATCACCTAGTGCCAGTTCACAAAATTATGACAGTTTTGTTTGTCATTTACCTAATTCAACAGGCATGTTGAACAGGCCTTCAAGAGCATGTAAAGCAGCATTCTTTTTTGCCGCAACCTTCGTAGCTCCAGAGCCTTCCTTAAAACTCCTTTCTCCCACGGTGACCCGGCAAGAAAATGTCTTCTGGTGATCTGGGCCCAAATGAGGAAGGTCTTCATAAGAAATCTGTAAAAAAAGTGTTATTATAGTTAGTTTACACCTTGACTGCCTATATGACGTACTCAGTGCTTCATGATTTTTGCTCATCGGGTGCCTATATGACCTACTGAGTACATCAAAATTTTAAGACATTTAGTCAAACTCCCGGCACACCAGAAACAACTTTTACTGGCACCTGAAATTCGTGGGAGTCTTTTCCTGAGACTGCTAATAATATACCCTAGATGTGATGCTAGCCCACCGTAGGTTCTCCCAAGAATTTTGCCACACTGTCCCGCAATCTACTTTATACTTCTGGGTGGAGATAGGTACAGTTTGCAAGAGTAAAGTGCCTAGCCCAGTGGAAAAAGACACAACAACCCCAGCAAGAGCTCCAACCCAGACTATATGATAAATGTATATGAACAAAGGGTTATCCTGAAGTGCTGAAAATGGAGGCTACCCTAGATCTTCCAAGACTTTTTGTCACCTAAATTGTACAAGACAGGCTCTGATTTTACAGACCTTCCAACCCTCCCAGTTGGGCCTGAAATCTCCTTGTTTATTTGGGAAAAACTGTGGTCTGGAAAAATCTATCAAAATTTAATAATGGTTGTAAAAAGTTCTTTTTAATCTGAAAAAATCAATGACAGATCATTTTTTTTGGGGGGGGGGTCTATCATGTAGATAAGTAGGGTATGGGTAAAATTGGCTGGCTTCTCCTTCACGACACAAGTTTTCTTGCATCTGAAAAGCAAAAATGGTGGGGGGTGAAAAATCTCCAGGTTTTATTTATTCTAGCTCCAGATTTTCACTCTTGGGGTTTGACAGGTCTACTTTTATCTACAAGCTTTGAATGGTTAACAGTGCAACTAGTATCCACTTGATTCCTTGTTACCTTGAGGTGGTTTCTCTGACAGTGCTCATTCAGAAGCATGATTGGATCCTTGCGTAACATAACAGCTTCTGCTTGTGTTTTGTCGCCTGGCATTTGCTGGCCAGCTGAGGAACCACTGCTTCCAACAGACCAGTGAGGACTCTCTTCCGTTGTGTTGTACAATCCTGTTTAATCAGACGAGTAATTTAACAGAACTTGTGATGACGTTTGGAATGCTATATTATTCTTGATTGAATCACTGGAATTAGAAATTCTTGCAACTTATGTAGGTTTGAATAATTTTATGTAATTATATTGACAGAGGTTCTTTACTCTGCTGACAACTACAGTCATGTAATACAGTAATACAGGAACATTCTCTAAGCTGCCACAATGGCTATCATAAACTTGACAGGAAGGTTAAGTCTACTCAATAAACTTGTTAGTACAGCTTCAAGTCAGTTCCTCACTAATATTTCCATTGTATTCAAGGTTTGTAAGCTAACACAATTGGTTCTTATATAACTTTATTGTGCCGATCACTCAGCCCTGATTGTTCAACATTCAGATTTAGAAATAAAACACACAACATGAGTAAAAATTTTAAAAATTCTCTCTGGTAAAAATATTAATATCTAACATCTGTTCCATAAATTAGTGTTCTCCACAAAAACAATGTCAAATTGGAAAAAAAAAATTCATGTTATTTTTATTATCTGTCAAAAAGTTGTCATAATTTATTATCTCTTTAGCATAGTAATATTTACATACCTTCTGCAGGTTCCCAGTTCATAAGGGTCTTCAAGGCTGCAATAGCAACAAGCTTCCTTGCCATTTTCTTTGTTGAACTTTTCTTTGGGCCAAAAGTTGTTTCTCCTACTGTAACCTGAGCCTGGTACAATCCTGGATACATACACTGAACATCTTCAAATTTTATCTGAAAAACAAGTTTCAAAATCTGGGTTTTCCATTAGATTAATAGACAGGTACTTTAGGACATTCAATAGCTCCCTTATTCATATTTATGTCACACTATACAATAATACAGTACAGTACAGTACAGCGCAGCAAAGCACAGCACAGCACAGTACAGTACAGTACAGTACAGTACAGTACAGTACAGTACAGTACAGTACAGTACAGTACAGTACAGTACAGTACAGTACAGTACTTTATTCAAGAGATACAAATAATATGCAAAAAAGACACCTCTTGAAATGGAAATTGTGAGGTTAGCCCCATATGTGACAATTCCCATAAATAAAAACCATAAATTACTAATCCCACCTCTTCCAAGCTTCACTTTTAAAGTATGAGCCTCTAAAGCATAATATGATAAATGAATTCCCAAAGTAGCAAAGATATATGGACATGAAAACAACATGATGGTTGCTAAGGGTAACAGTCAATGAGCAACTGATGTACGATCGTGGTATTCGTGGCTTGAAGTCCTTAGCATGTAACAAAAAACAATTTATCAAGTTTCTAAAGTGGGAAGTTAAAATTATTCAGTTATCTAAAGTTTGGCTTCCCCTGTAAAACAATGCAGTATTTAAGCTTTAGGGACCACAATAGCAATGGTGACAGCAGCCTCACTAAACAAATAGTTTAATGAGCAGAACAATGGCTGTGCAAGAACAATATCTAATTATTTTCATACATTTGCTTGCTGTTCTCCACCAAAAAACAATGTGAAATGCCCAAATTCTGCATAATCTAGAGAACATGAGCCTCAATGGCCAATTTTTTAAGTTCACATTGCCTTGTGAGATTTGTAGGTTAAATATATTCATTTTTCAATCGATGTTGACACAATTGACAAATTAAAGCACATTTGATACATACAGGTTGATCTCTCTTTTGTCCATATTCATTGAGCAACATCACAGGGTCCTTATCAGGAGGGGCTGATGGGTCAAGGCTCTTCACCTTTGGACGCCGATTTCTGAAGTTCCGCCCATACCTTGTGGGAAGGCCTTGTTCAGGTTCCTCGGATTCTCCACCTTGAGCAGTAAATGTACCTTGTTGAAACCTGCCATAAGGTTCTACAAAAAAAAAAGACTGAAAATGATTATCCTGTTTTTAACTTGCAATATGAAGAAATAAATTACAATGTTTAGAGAGGAAGCCACATCAATCCTAGTAGGTTTTTATGCCAGTCCTCTATCCAGGTCAAACTGGAATCAGACTGAAAACTGCTGGTTCAAAGTTTACTTGATACCATGTATATGACACCAGGCCATTTATATTCAAGCAGATGCAAAAAATACGCCATAAAAATACAAGATCATTTAAGACAGTACCCAGTCAAATATCTGGAAAATATTGGACCGGCAATTAAGTATAATTTCTGATTGGTTAGTTAAATTACTTAATGATTCTCTGAGCTAACTTAATGTTGTGTTATAATGCACCTTTCTTTGGCTACACAGAAGTTCTTGTAGTAGTCTGTCTCTATAGCTCGTAAGAAGCTATTAAATAAACAAACAGTAAACTCTTCGAAGCCAAAACTCTGAAACACAGCCTACCTTGTGTTGTAAAAACTTAAGCTTATATATATCAGCAATTTTTTAATAAACCGACAGAGAAAAACCAATTAAAATAACTTTGAACGCCAGTCCAAGGGTCACTGGTAAAACATCTGCTTCGTGAAAACTGACGGACATGATTCGACAACTTGTCAAAGAGTACGTGAATTTGACACTGAAAACTTCGAACAAGATCGCAAAATTGAACCAATGTCAGTGGATATATTCAGTATAGCTTATACCGAATGTATGGGCCTTAAGTTCACAGAATAATGAGCCCTAGGGGGAAATGTAATGAAAAGAAACTAAACCTCAACCAAAACAAAAAACATTTCGCTGATTGAGCTTATCTTGCCGATAAGACTTACAAAGTTTTCATGTGTGCTACGGTACCTTGAGAAAGTGCTTGCAATGCAAGATCTGCCGCGTACTCTTTCGCGTCTTTCTTCGTTGAAGCTGTAGCTGGAAGAAAAGAGCGTTCACCGAGTTTTGCTACGGCGGTATACTGTGGATTGTGAGCATTTTCCAGCGAGTTTTGAGTGACGATGTCGAAATCGACTAAAACTCCGCTGTGATCGCCATATTCTTTGAGAGCTGTGCGAGCGTTCTTGTTCACGAGATTACCAAACATTTCCCCTCTACCGATGTACGTAGCCTCGGAGAATTGAATGAGTAATGTCGTGACAAAATCAGTCCTCGGTGCACTCAGAAACAGAGCAGTAGCTGCGAAGAAAGGTCTAAAAACATGTGTTGTACTTAGCTCGCGCCGATGCTCTCTCGGCTATCAATGTCATGTCACAGGTACCCCAACATGGAATCACCAACTCGCGTGTCACTATAGCTTTCCAAGGACAAGAGACTCAGCGATGACTCTCTGAGATTCTCGACAGGTCAAGACAAAAAGAGATAATTTTACGACTATGCTATAGAGAAAGTTTTTTAAAAAGTTACAAAAATGAATACAGAAAAAAAAAGAAAAAAAAACAGTTCTAACTGTTGCGTCGTTACAATGAGGGATATCACAATTCAAAAAGCATTCACATGGCTTCGTCTGAACTATCACCCGTCTTCCAGAGGTGATTTTTATACCTTTTCCAGATTCAGCAAGAATGAAAAGTACACCGTGTTGTGCAGCACATCCCTGTATGGGGGGAGGAGGGGGAAAAGGGGGGAGGTGGGGGAAACTTCTGGTGGAGGAGGCTAGGGTGGGTACATGGCTTATTCTAAGAATAACCCTTTTCACCGTAACTTTTTTCTGACATTTGTATACAATTTAATCTAGCAGTGAGAGGCAAGTTCGGGTTATTTTGTAGTTTCACCCCTGTTGTCTCCTATCCACACTGGATTACATTGTAATGCAAATGAGAAAAACAAAAAGTGAAAGCTACGAGCTTACGGCTCAGTAGTCATGTGTCCATCTCGTGAGATAATGGTAACGCCTTTGTCGGTCAAGAGCGTTCCGGATTCCTGAAGGTTGTCATAGCTGGGGGTGGTAGTGGGGGTGTTGTTGGACTAGTGGAGGTGGCAGTTTCTGCCATTATTATGATCCAGGGTCAGGTTGTTCAAAGCCCGATTAAGCTAACCCATGCCAGGATTAACTAGAATTTTGATTTCATTTTTGTAACTTTTCAGTGACGTTTTCCGTTTATATATTGTTCGTCCTTCAGTCTTGAGTCAAGGAAAATTAATACTTCGGTTAACTTTTAATCCTGGGTTAGCGTCAACCAGCTTTCGAAGTGTTAAAGGGAAGGCATGGGGAAATCCCAGGTTCCTCTAGTTGATGCCAGACTGATTTTGTCCCACTTTAGAGTACCTAATAAAAAATAAAAAATAGATAAAAAGAAAGAAAGAAAGAAAGAAAGAAAGAACAGTTTTGTCAGTCGCAGAAAGCCTTTAATGACTGAGCAGTCCAGGTTCAGGCCTTGGCTGGGGTCATGTGCTGTGTTCTTGGGCAAGACACTATTCTAATCGGTACTCCCTCCAAGCGGGTACTCGCGAATGTAATGCTGGGGGGTAACCCTGCAATGGACTAGCATCACATCAACTACACACCATGACACCCCAAAC